CACTGTTTTTCCCAGTGTCTCCTCTGGAGCCTTTGCTGCTTGGTTGATGTTGCCGTGCGTTCCTTTGACATGCATGTAACCTGTGCAGGGTGAAAAGATGGAATGACGGCTGTCTTCCAGTATGTTGGTTTTGAAGCTGTCGACCGTCGGCTTGTGGACATTTCCCAGGCACACTTCGCCTACTACCACCCAGCCAAGGTCCAAACGTTGAGCGAATGGAGCGTTGTGTGGACCGTTGACTTGCTGTCTGACCTTATGAGCCCGCAAAATGTCTCTTCCGAGAAGCAGTAGAATTTCTGCTTTTGGATCTAGCTCTGGGAGGTGTTTGGCAATATGCTGGAGATGGGGTTGTTGGATTACAGCACTTGGTGTCGGAATCTCCGAACGATTATTTGGCATATCACTACACTCAATGAGTGATGGGAGTGTAATGACCACTTTTCCATCTAGTGATTCGACTTGGAATCCTTCAGCACGTCTCCCTGATGTTTCTACCAGACCAGAACATGTTCTCAGCCGATACGGGGTTCTTTTGCCTTCTATTCCGAAGAGGTTGAAGAACTCTGGTTTGGCTAGTGAGCAATTGCTCTGGTCGTCCATAATCACGTAGGCATTGACAGCCTTGTGCCTAGCGTCCTTAGGATATATCTTTGTGAGGCAAATCTTAGCACAGGAGCGAATCCATTGGCCTTCGCCTCTGTGCAGCTTGAGTTAACATCATCGTAGCTAGCCTCAGCTTCTCCCTCCCCGCCGTCCTGTTGTGACGGTGAAGGAGCCTAAGGGGATTGCAATGGCGGGCTAGGATGCATGGCTGTGACATGATAAGTGTGGTCACATTCTTGACACTTCACTGATGACTTACAATCCTTAGCAAGGTGTGAAGTGGATGCACAGCATCTGAAACAAATTCCTTTTTCCTTAAGGAAGGCCTTTCTTTCGTGGAGTGGTTTGTTTCTAAATGTTCGACAATCTTGTAGTGAGTGTGGTTTGTTGTGCACTGGGCAATTATTGGCTGGGTCGACATTTGTTTGTTTGTTGGTATTTATTGTGGCGACATCTGTTTTGTTTACTGAGAAAGTTTTATCAAATTTTTTTAAGACAAGTATTTCTGGATTGACAGAGTTTTCAGCACTCCCTTGGATCATAAAGCTGGGATCGTTCCTCTTTTTGGCTTCGTGACACACACATTTGCAGAAGTATTCAAAGGGAGGGAACCGACCATTGTTATCTTCTTTGAAACTCAAGCCCTTGGACAACCGTTTTTTTTATTGGGCTCAGAAAGATCAAATACAGGAATCAGAAAATACTCACCTGTTCACATTGCAAAATACTTACCGTGAACAACACCAAAGTCTTGAGAGAGAAGAGTAAGAGACAATATTAATACCTGCATTACAGAGGAAAAAGACACTCGCACCGCTGCGTTTCATGGGATTTCACAGCAAGGCTCACTGGGACCATACATACCTCTCCTTATTGGGAAAGAAGGGATGAAGGACAATATTAATGCCTGTATTTACAGAAGGAAAATAAATAATATTACAATGGGATTTCATAGCAAAGCTCACTGAAACTGTACTCACCTCAACTTACCGTGAAACCTACGGAAGGAATATAAGGGAAAATATGAATTCCTGTAATGACAGAAGGAACAGCAATTTGCATACTCAACTCTACTTAACGGCAAACACGGAAGTATTAACGGTCAAATAGACCCCACCCACATCTCTGTGTTAGTAGTGCGTGAGGCCATATGTACATGGGACATGAAAACAGTGCATCTCATATTGACAAAAATAAACTTTGCTAACCGAGTTTTCCAAATCACTCTAAAAATAAGCCGTTGTGATACACGTGTAGACAACGTCTGCAGAATCATAAATGATCGTTACATTGTGTTCATTAAACCATTATTTCGCCAAGATAAAAAACATTAATGTTTTTGATTTTAGTGTAATTCACAAATGTTCCACCAGGTTGTGCCACACACACACACCCAGGGGGAAAATATAATATATTAACCCAGCAATAAGTGGTCAAACTGTTTTAATTCATTCATTTTTAGACGGTGTACAATGGAGTCAACAAACAGAGAGAGATATGGACATAAACCTGTCAGTATAGACTGAACAATGTTCATATTAATCATATTTAATTTATTAAATGTACAATAAACTAAAAACAGCAGCATATCACACTCAAAGGCAGACATACACACACCCAGGGGGGAAAGAGGACACATTGACCCAGGAAAAAGTGCTCAAAACGTGGGCACTTTAGTGTTTAAAGTCGGGGGAACTGTTTTAATTCAAAAGGAGTGTATTTGAAGTGTTACCCAGTGAGCAGCGCCACAAACATGGCTAGATGAGTTTTAAAAGTGGTCAAACTGTTTTAATTCAGTCATAATTGTCATTTTTAGACGGTGTACATTGGAGTCAACAAACAGAGAGAGATATGGACATAAACCTGTCAGTATAGACTGAACAATGTTCATATTAATCATATTTAATTTATTAAATGTACAATAAACTAAAAACAGCAGAATCACTGCTTTAAGCAGCATATCACACTCAAAGGCAGACATACACACACCCAGGGGGGAAAGAGGACACATTGACCCAGGAAAGAGTGCTCAAAACGTGGGCACTTTAGTGTTTAAAGTCGGGGGAACTGTTTTAATGCAGTTACTATGTGTCCCCACAGGGGGGGGGCGCATCACCCAACATGAGCACAGTGCATTAACAGTGAAAAAGGATGATTTAAACTAGTTTAAGCGGGGAAAATAGTGCTAAAAGTCAGATAAAACTCTGCTATAACTATGATAAAAGTGTGGTAAAAGTCTGATTGTTTCAGAGATCCATAGTAATGATACAATAAACCATTTACATCTAAAAGTATCCATTAAAAATGCATTTGTAGGGGGAAAAGTGCAGAGAGAAGCCTGAAAATGACTCTCCAGCACCCCGGAGAGCTCCATTGTGAAATCTTGCTACTAATCCATAACTTTTGATAACAAGCTCTGTTCGGTTCAGGCTTTTCTGTACCTCCCCATTTCCATGTACCCCGCATCCAACGGTACCATCGTCAAATCTCTAGGACCTCGGGGAGCGGAGTTACGGCAGAGGGTCAGATTCTGAAAATACGATTTGAGAACAGGGCTCTGATCAGGGCTAAAGTCTTGTTAGAAACTGCTGAATCTGTTTAAATGCAGGCAGCAGAGTCACTGCTGTTAGCAGGGTCTGAGAAAGATGGGAGGAAAAAGGAAACATGAGAAATCAGGCCTTTAGGGGTGGAAATATACATGAAACACTCACAGTCACCCAGACAGAGACCCAGGGTGCAGCACCGCGCTGGCTTACCCAGAGAACAGGGCTCTGATCAGGGCTAAAGTATTGTTAGAAACTGCTGAATCTGTTTGAATTAATGAGGAGAGGAGAGGAGCATTCCCCCGAAAAAGTGCAGAGAGAAGGCTGGAAATGACTCTCTAGGACCCCGGAGAGCTCCCAGGTGCTGAAGCGGGGGAGAAAGGCTCACAGCACGGCCTGGGACCTTCAGCACCAGTCCCTAACAGTGGGACTCTGTTTATTTCACACCTCCAGGACGGAGACCGGGAAAATCACCTCTCTCTGCCCACCCACAGACCCTCAAAGGACGGACTAATGACCTCCAGCATATGTTCCTAACAGTGGGACTCTGTTTATTTCACACCTCCAGGACGGAGACCGGGAAAATCACCTCTCTCTGCCCGCCCATAGACCCCCAAAGGACGGACTAATGACCTCCAGCATATGTCCCTGACTTGTGCATTCCTCCATAACCTTGCACACCGTGAGTCCCCGGGCCCCCGCAGTTAAGCACTCCCCCACGGACTAAACACAGATATTCACACCCTCAAGAACCTCGTGCCCCTGGTAATACTAACAAGGGGGTGGATTTTGTGGTGGTCTACCGTCCGCCCTTAAGCATTCAACTGCGAACTCCTGACCCCCAGACACTCTTCATAGTTTTAGCTTACCAGGGGCACGCTTGTCTGGCAGTTATTCACATAGGGGTTTTGTCCTAGGCATTGTGCTTAAGTCAAGGGGTCAGGGGACTCACGGTGCACATGGAGGTGCAAGCACTTTAGCTTTTTAGCCTGCTCACAGACCCCCAAAGGACGGCCTAGAGACCTCCAAGAGGTGTCCCTGACTTTTGGTTGTGCCCCTGGGAATCTTACAGCAGGGTAAAATAGAGTGTTTACCCAGAGCCTCCGCTCTGATGATCCGGTACCGACTTTACCTTAATATATATTGGTGTGTTGGAGCGTTTTGAAAAGAAAGAAACGGTATTTAATTATAACATATTTATTTGAACTTACACACAGAACATGTCACAGTACACTGCGTACACAGTACACAGCACACAGCGGATTTAGCGTGATCGCCTCGGGAGAGACTTCGACTCGCAAATAGAGTCAAATCCGATATCTTCATCGCCAGAAGCGATCGGGTAAATGTCCACCTCTGAATCAGTAAAGTCAGATTCAAGGACAGTCTTGTCATATTGGCTGGATAGAGGGTTATCAGCAACCCGTTGTTTCAGCCGTGCATTCGCCCGCTCCAGCAGCATAGCCTGCAACACCTCATCAGCTTCATCTGATAGATCAGATATTTCATCCTCCGACCAATCACTGGGGGTATCATGATAAACCACAGCGTACTCAGTCTCGCTACAGAGTAAATCTGGACGATCTGTAGATGGCCCTGCTGGAGCGGGGGCTTGAGAGAGGGCTGGAGGAAGGATTGGAGAGAGGGCTAGAGAGTGGGCTGGAGAGGGGGTTGGAGAGGGGGCTAGAGAGGGGGTTGGAGAGGGGGCTGGCTCTCGCTCTTCCTCTTGCTCTCGCTCTCGCTCTGGAACGGAGGGACCTGCTGGTTGTATCCCGGCTGCGGCATCGGCTTCCTCTTCCATGGTTCCCTTGTCCATGGAATCAGAAAGCATGTGTCTGATGTCCAAGGCCTCCTTAACCCCCGGAGAACCGGTTAGCCATATGCAAGTCGTGGCACATAAACTGGGACAGCTTCGCCCGATTCACTGGATCTTGGTGCCTCTTCACCTGAAAGATATGGATAATTAGTACACGAGGAATGGGTAACATTTAAATGTAGAGTCATTAACAAACTCACAGTGTCTGCCAGGGCAGTGCGGAGCAGAGAATGGGAGATTGGCCCAGGAAGCCCAACATCTTTCCATGCTTGGTTGAGATACAGATGGAGGCTCTTACAGGGGCCCTCTCCCGCTGTGTAGAGGAAGTAGCGATTCTGATGCCCAAGAAACGTCTTCTTTATTTCCATCCATCGCTGGACCCAGCCAAATTCATCCACAGTACAGTGCACCTGCGCCTCTCCATAGGTTTTGGCGGTCTTGTGGTTCTGGACATGGATGAGGTATCCGTGGCGGTTGCCTTTTCTTCCCGCCGCATTCACCTCTGCATTAGTCATGTTTGCATAGACACCAGTACGGTGACCATAGAGCAGGGACCAATGGAGTGAGAAATAGCCATATAACAGGTACCGGTCGTTTGCAGATGGGGAAAGCTCCATTTTATCCAAGAGCTCTGGGATGCGCTTGACAGAGGCAGCAATGCACGTTTGAAGATTAGCTTAGCTGGGCAGGCTTTCCATCTTAATCCTCTTTACCTGGAACTGGTGGACTGTCACCGCCTGATTCAGGCGCACAAGGCATGCTTTCAACTCCCGCAATAATGTAGCCAAGTCAGACCGACTGAGCCTGCACCCGTTTACTTTTGAGTCAGTCAGGTATCTAATGAACTGCATTATATTTTTTATATAAAGGGCAACAGTTGTGACTGCAAAGTTTTCAGTTACTTTGAGGCTGTGTACCCAGGCACGGATACGTGCGTTGTCTCTAAGGAATAACCAGTCTGACATACGTGGAGAGTCTCCCCCCATAAAAGAGAGAAACTGTTTGATGCGGCTTACCTTTGACTGTGTGTTGCCTGTCAGTCGTGATTCTGGCTCGACCCCAGTGCTGTAGTCCCGGTACTCTGCTATTGCCGCCTCCATGCTGGGTGGAAGGGTTATGTGCCGCTTCTTGTTGCTGACTTTACTACCAGAGGGCCTTGGAAGTGTGGGTGATGGTCTCCCAGCCACGGGGGCCAGTCGACGTCTAGTGCGCCGAGCTATGCTGCTCACAGGCATTTCAGGGGTAGGGGAGGAGGTGACACATTTCCTGCTGGTGGAGGAAGATTGCCCACTAGGATCGGATGCAGGTTTAGAGAACCTACTATGTAGGCGGTTGTTGATGACCTTGGGCTGTGTCACTGGAAGTGCTGCACTGTCCTGTGTGCTTTGGATAGTTCCCCCATCGCTGTGTTGGCCACTCAGCGTATGCCCCATGAGGAACTCTGTGACTTCTTCCGCCATCTCCGGCACATCAATTTCAGCCATGGCCCTATCATCCCGGTGCTCCGATTCCTCCCGGTCCCCCTTCCGCCCATCATTTTTTGCCATTTTGGCCCCCGTGGCGTTCACAGCGGTGTCCTTCATAGCTTCGAGCAATCCAGGGGTATATCTGCATGTGGCGACTGGAGAACTTCTGCTTGTTGGACGTGGTGTCGCTGATATTCGTCTGGTTCCCACACGACCTTGACCCTCATCACGGGCCGTCTTAGAGACGACACCATGCTCCTGTGATGTGTGCTTCCTCTTCTTTGTGCACTTCACCCCCGAGGAACTCGGCTCGGTGTCTCTCCGCCGAGACGCTTCAGACGACTCTAGTATGTTTACACTGGGGGGGGCTGACATTGGTCTCCGTAATCTTTCACCCCGAGAGTCTTCATCACCAGCGTCTCTGGATTGACGCTCGCTTGATTCAACCAAGGGGGTGGGGGTGCGTCTGCCTGTGTTGACTGAGGCTCTTTTTCCAGAGGAAGCTGACGTTTCTGGCTGCTGGAGTGGAATTATTTCAGCTGGTGGACTCTCCAAGGACTTACGGAGGTCCCTCTTGACACTTTCAGCCTTCCACTGCTTCATCTTACGTCTTAGAGTATGCACCTCTTTCTCGAGGGAGTCATTTTGAGCCACCAGTGCCACGTTAGCCAGCCTTAGCTGTCTGTGTTCATCGACTTCGAGGTCAACTTCCCCTGGAAAGCAGTCTGGGTGTTCCTCATTTGCACCATAGTCGACATCCAGTGTCGTTATCATTTGTGTTGGGGGGTCAACCTCCCGAAGCTCCCTCAGCAGTTTAAGCCCCGTGCTGTGTTTTACTGACTTCATCAACAAGTCTGCTTCTGGTTGGCTGAGCTCCGGGTGGTCACAGTTTATATGCCGGTCCAGACTGGTGCTATGGTATCCACAACCAACCACAGTACAGGGCACGGTGCGAATGTTGATTCTCCCGTGTGCCATGCGTAGTAGAATGTTGCGTTCCTGTGGGTTGTGAACATGGTGCCGGACCACCAAGTGTCTGGGGAGAGTGCGGTACTGCATGTGACACAGCGGGCATTCGGTCTTCATCTTCAACTTCAACTGAAGTCAGTATTGCCTGTGGAGACACAAGAAGATTTAAATAGATCAAAATTGATTGAAAGGAAGGCTTTTCGTTTAGATGGGAGGCTCCATCTGCGTTCAACACCATTGGGTAAATTCAAATTACCCGGAGAAGGGGGGCTCCGACTCCAAACCATCTCAACACTGAGTTGAAGAGTGCCCCGAAGAACCAGGCCAACACTCATATCCGAGGCTTCTAAAATTCATGGTACTCACCCAGCAAATGAGTTCCATACTGGCTCGTAACCCGGCGCCAGTGTGGAGTACCGCGGGGCTGGAGAAGAAAATAGAGGAGAGTTGATCCATACAGGCTTTAAGAGCAACACGGGAATCAAAAAAGCCAGCATATTACACCCACCATCGCAGGCACCTCTCATGCATAGCTTTGCTTAGTAGTGCTCTGAAGAACCCCGCAGGAGTCCCCTGTCGACTCCACTGGCATTCCTCCATGGGCAAAATAATCAGAGTCAACTTTTGTGAGAACCAGGAAAAGGGGTCAAAATGAGAAAATTGTGTCCCAATATAGTGCATCATGACCCCGCAAGACAGTATGTCATCTCTCGATCATATCCTCCAGGGTCACTAGAAGGGTCCGAGCCATCTCCAGTCCGTGTTTAAATTGAGAAAACTATCCCAAAATAGTGCCTCATGACCCCGCAAGAGTCCCCCGTGGACTCCCCTGACATTCCTCCATGGGCAAAATCATCAAACTCAACTTTTGTGAGAACCAGGCAAAGGGGTCAAAATGGAAAAATTGTGCCACAAAATAGTGCTTCAAATTCGGGTAGAGTCCCCTGCAAAGTGCCCTTGCATTCCTCCATGGGTCAAAATGTCAAACTTAAAGTATTTGGAGAACCAGGGAATAGGGTGAAAATGTAAAAAATGTGACCCAAAATAGTGCATCAAAATCGGGTAGAGTCCCCTGCAAAGTGCCCTTGCATTCCTCCATGGGTCACTTTGTCAAACTTAAAGTATTTGGAGAACCAGACTGGGGGGTCTTGAGGCACAAAATAAGGCCCACTCAGAGTGCTTGGTGAGCGGATACATTCTTCCAGGATTTGCAACAGCCGTTTTTTTTCTGAGTGCACCCAAAAACTGGGTTTCCGATTTTGTGCAGACGGTAGTCTGAAAAGTATGGATGAATCTTTTTGACAGAAAAGGGGAGATTCACAGAATTACAACAGCAGAAGTTTAGTGCAGAAAAAGTCAAAAGAGTAGTCTGTATATTAAAATATAACAAAGTAGGCAAACGTTATTAATATTAAAGAAACACAATAGCTAAAAACAAATAGTAAGTACACTATGGTTAAAAAAACTAGCAGTATACTTTTTAAACAAGCTGACGATACAAAATTGTAGAAGTAACTGGTACTGTTTACAGATCCTAAATAAATTGAAAAGAAATAAAGCTTAAATTGCACGACATTTTTAAACCTATCAGTGAATTTGAACGATTAATTTGAATAATTTGACCATTCATGTGAACATGAACTGGAAGCACTTTACTGAATAGCAGAGGGGTTATTGATAATTAAAAAAACTCCAATATAAACGTAGTAGTATAAGCTGTAGAAGTGTGGGAAGGGAAATTATTGAATATTTGTGTATTATAATTGTTCGGTGTTGCACTTTGTAGACGGTCCCTGCATTCAGATAGAAGTTGTGCAGCTCGGAGGACGGTGTGTATTGGCTTGTTTTTATAGAAAAGAGGGGTTATAGCTTGTTGTCTACCTTACTGTGGTTGTTCAGAGACGACGATTGTGTTTGAGTTATTGATCTGTCAATATCTTTCTAACTTAACCAACTAGGAAGACACTCATCCCGCCCCGTAAAGCTAGTCCTATGAATGAAGACTCTCAGAGGGCATCAAAGCCTGTCTCTACGACCTCTACTTGTTATCCCAATAATATTTCAAAACCTATAGCCCTTTCTCAATTCTAATGTTCCCCTCCTCGACTCCTCTCCTCGACTCCTTTCCTCGCGTCTTAGTCCCGCCCACAGGAGATGCGAGCGGAGGAATCGAGGAGGGGAACCGAGGACAAACACCATATAAACACCAGTCTTTAGTACATTAGAAGTTCATGATGTTACTGCCAACGTTAGGCAGAGGTTAAGATCTGTACAGAGTTTCCACTTCATGGGGGAGCAGACGTGTCCCCTATCCTTTTCTGTAGTTCTGGCCAGAGAGATTTCATTTGTATTCAGAGTCCAGTACGTGTTTGTTTACCTGGCTCAGGGTTTGAGCCCTCATTCACACAGCAGCACTGGTTATGGGCTGCACTATTTCTACTATATTCTATTTCATTTGATTTACTTGTACTCTTATATCTGTGTTATTGTGTTGCTCTGTGGGAGGAGCCTGTGACCTCAGATCTTCATTGTCATAACTAAACGGTAGCTATGCACACATGACAATAAAAGCCTTGAATCTTGAATCTGCGCTAACCACTGAGCCACAAACTGGTTTCTGTCTCTTTCTTAAAGCAGCAAACAGAAAAGCTTTGTACACGACTGAGTGGCCAAAACACAAAGTACATCCACTTTTTAAAAATCTTTATTTTTAATGTATTTTATTATGATTAGTTGTTATGTAATGTTTTACCATATTTATTCATACATTTGTCTTTTACACTTTAAAACGAAATAAAAACACCTTAATATTTGTTTAAAAGTCTTTCTATTTAAATGTATTTAATTTGTATTTTTATAACTATCTTTTATTTAATTTGAATTGTTTTAATCTTAGTGTTTGTACTTTTGTATTTCTTATTATTATTATTATTAATTTAATTGTTTTAAGGAGGAGACTCTTCCTCCTACAGAGGACACAGAGACACTGAGGAACCAGGCCAAACTGCAAACCCAAACCCAGCATAAAGAGGTTCAGTGGATGTGGTTCTGGAGGTGTGGAGGTGGATCAGTGTGTCAGAGGAGACTCTGTAGAAGGAGAGAGAGCCAGCAGGATGATCCAGATACACTGCTACTCTACCAGAGGAGGAGGAGGAGGAGGAGGAGGAGGAGGAGGAGGAGGAGGAGGAGGAGGAGGAGGAGGAGGAGGTGTGTGTTTCTCTCTTATTGTGCCAGACAGAGTAACCACCATCAGAGCAGCTCAGACTCCAGGACTGATCATTCCTTCCAAACACACAGTCCTCTCTCTCTCCTTTCCTGCTGATTCCTCTGTAAGTCACTGATATAGAAACCCTTCCTTTCCACTCGACCTCCCAGTAACAGCGACCATTCAGAGCTTCTCTACACATCAGCTGAGGCCAGGAGTCAAACCTCTCTGGATGATCAGGATATGGCTCCTCCTCTTTCACACATGTCACCGTCCTGTTGTTGTCAGACAGTTTGAGGTTTCTGTGTGCTGTGTTTGTGTCGAGTGAGAGTTCACAGGAATCTGATGAGAGAAACAGCAGCAGTTATTAATCTATCAGCTGTTCATTTATTGACACTTTGATGATGAAGGTTATATTTCAAGATGGTGGCTGCTTTGTTTTCATGAATCAAATTAAACCACACTCACACTTCCTCAGACCGGGTCTCAACCATCGGACTCCACCAGGCTCCATCCTGAAAGAAGAGGGGGGGGGGGGGGGTCAGAGCAGCATGGAAACATGGACATTACATCACTCTCAAACCTTAAGCTATCTTTCATGCACAGAAGTTGTTTTTAAAAGAGGGAGGGGCCATTTAGTGCTTTACAAATAGGAGAAGCACTTCAGACTCCATTCAGATACAGGAGCCAGTGTAGATCGTGTCCATCAGGAGTGGGATGGTCTCTGCTGTAGGTTTATGTTGTGGGATGGATTTTGTGAAACTTGCCGACTAAGTAAATGTCCCCCTGACTATATTGCCAAAATGATAAAAGCAGTTTTGGTCAGCAAATTAAAATGAGCATTAAAATGGAGATCAGAATCTAAAATGATAAAGATGTATTTCTTGTTGTCGTGTCTTCTCTGTAAACACAGAGCTGCTGCCTGAGTCTTATCCACTGACTTTAGTTCCCTTCAATGTTATTGTCTTAGCATACACACAGTGGAGGAAATAAGTATTTAATTCCCTGCAGATTGTGTAAATTTGCCCACAAAGAAATGACCAGTCTGTCATTTTAATGGGAGGTTTATGTAAACAGTGAGAGAAAGAATATCAAAAAGAAAATCCAGAAATAGACATTATATAAAAGATAAAAATGTATTTGCATTTAACTGAGTGAAATAAGTATTTGATCCCCTTGCAGAACATGTGTTAGTTCTTGGTGGAGAAACCCTTGTTGGACACACAGAGGTCACACAGAGGTCAGACGCTTCTTGTAGTTGGTCTCCAGGTTTGTGAACATCTCAGGAAGGATTTTGGTCCACTCCTCTCTGAAGATCCTCTCCAAATCCTGAAGGTTTTGAGGCTGATGCCCAGTGGCGATCTGCTCATCTCACATCGAAATAATATGCTACACAGGGGCGGACTGGCCATCTGTGTGTTCTGGAGAATCACAGAACGGCATTATTATTATTATTATGCTGCGTAAACCAATTATTTAAATGTGTTTAAACTGCATCATGTAAGTTGCGCTGACAGGTGAAAGAAGTCCAGACACTGCTGCGAGGCTCCCCCCGCCCTCCTGTTGACAGTTCACAAGGTTCGAGCTCTTCACCCCCCCGTTGACAGTTCTCGATCGTTGGCACACTGATCACAATTATTTTTTTGAATGGCACTTCATATCAAAAAGGTTGCCGACTCCTGGTGTAGTGTGTTACCAATAGCTTTCTTGGTGACTGTGGTCCCAACTGCTTTGAGATCATTAACAAGTTCCTTCGGTGTAGTTCTTGGCTGATCCCTCACCTTTCTCATGATCATCAATACCCCACGGGGAGAGATCTTGTGTGGAGCCCCCGACTGAGGGCCATTGATGCTCATTTTGTTTTTCTTCCAATTAGAAACACACACATTATTCTCCTGAATAATCGCACCAACAGTGGTCTCCTTCTCACCAAGCTGCTTTCTGGTGGTCTTGAAGCCGATCCCAGCCTTGTGCAGGTTTACAATCTTGTCCTTGAGGTCCTTAGACAGCTCTTTAGTCTCGCCCATGGTGGAGAGGTTGGAATCTGATTGATTGATTCTGTGGACAGGTGTCTTGTATACAGGTAACAAGTTGATATTAGGAGTACTTTTTTGAAGGAAGATGAATTATTTAACCGGTCTGTGGGAGCCAGAATCCTTGTTTGTTGATCAAATATAGCAAATACATTTTTATCTTTTATATAATGTAGATTTCTGGATTTTCTTTTTGATATTCTTACTCTCAATGTTTATATAAACCTACCATTAAAATGATAGACTGTTAATGTATTTGTGTTTGGGCAAACTTAAACAATCTGCAGGGGATCAAATACTTATTTCCTCCACTGTATATGTTTATAATACCTGAGGGCGTCCAGTCTCCAGAGAGGATCCTCCAGTCCAGCAGACAGCAGCTTCTCTCCTGAGTCTCCTGGATCATTGTAGCTCAGGTCCAGCTCTCTCAGATGGGAGGGGTTGGATCTCAGAGCTGAAGCCAGAGAAACACAGCCTTCCTCTGTGACCAGACAGCCTGACAGACTGAACACAAACAAGTTCAAACAAGAGTGAGTAAAAAAACAATAACAAATGTTATTGAAGCAGATGCAACAAAAGGTTATGAGTTTATCCATCATTAATGTAA